AAAATCTCTTGGTCCTGCTATTGGAGATTAATGGTTAATTTTTGTGGCTATAACTTTGATAAGATTTTGATGGGTTTCTCTTAGAGACTAATCATCACACAACCCATTTGAACTTTAACAAGCTTATTAATGAACTAAAGAGTAGGCATAATTTGCTTCATTTTGAAGCACTGGATGGAAAATCCAAAAAAGGTAAATGATAAACCAAGGTGTTTATTGCAACATAATTGTAAGTCACCTAGTAAATTTAATAACTTCATCAACAGATTGACTGTAATTTTAGCCTAGTCCTTGGGAAACAGTTCTAGATTGCTACTCCATTTTCATCTCATGGGGGATTTGAACCTCTTCCTCTTCTGTTATTATTTTTTATTATTATATATTTTTTTATTTTTCTGTTGAGGTTAGTTCCAAGAAAGTTCATATATATATTTTTTGAACAGAATGAGTTTGGCATCTGGGAGATCTTTTTGCCAAACAATGCTGACGGTTCTCCCCCAATTCCCCATGGTTCTCGAGTGAAGGTAAATTCCTTGTAATAAGATTTATGAGTTTGTCTTTCAAATATCATTGGCTTCTGTGCAAATACATGTTTTCATTGTTTTCCTAACCAAAAAGAAAAAAATTGTACCATGTTTCCCCAGGTGAATTTGGTATGAATTTGAATACAAGGAAATTTTCAGATTGGTACTGTGCTTTTGTACTCTAAAAAAGGGAAATGAATTTGGCTTTGTATCTATGAATGGGCCATACTGAGTTACCTCCGTTAAATAATAAACATTCATTGATGAAATGTGCTGGATTAAATTTGTGTTCAAACTTCAAAGATGGATGATGATTATGACAACACATGCAAGATTGCTTTTCTACAATTCCTAGACGTTACCAGTGTTATGACAAGTCCACACACAAACACTAAATATATGCTGCTAGTGTTCATGTAACCACTTTCATTTTGCTGTTGCTGAAAAACTTTAGTTGCTGTTTGTGATGTAGAACTCACCTATATAGACCATTGTTTTGAATCTATAAAATCCTTAAAATACCTCCAGACTTCTGCAACCTTGCCAGAATAGAAAGATGACAGTTTTGCTTTGCACAACTTTGCCTGAGTAGATCAGAATAATGATTGAGTTCATTGCTTCCCCTTTTTTGAGTCTCAATTCATTTTTAGAAAAACAAACCCATTATGTGCATTTGCTATTTAGCTGTTGTGATTGTGTCAGTTTTCCCTTAAAAACTTACATGTAGTGCTGTGAAAATAAAATATCCGTTGACCATTTGATTATAGGTTCGCATGGAGACCCCATCTGGTATCAAAGATTCTATTCCTGCTTGGATCAAGTTTTCTGTCCAAGCACCTGGTGAGATCCCATACAATGGCATATACTATGACCCCCCAGAAGAGGTATTTTTATTTCTTTCTGTCCCTTTATTTGATTGGCATATAATTTGCATTCTGGGACTTCATGCTGCTGAAATACTTTGGAGCTCTGCTCCAATCAGAAGCTCAAAATTATATTTTTTGATGATTGATAATTTCATAATGATTATGATATCATTTTTTACTAACATAATTTTGGCTTGGCTCTTGCTATATGTAACACATCATTTGATTCTTGTGCCCTACGTCATAGTTAATGATGTTCAATTCTTGACAGGAAAAGTATATATTTAAACATCCCCAGCCAAAGAAACCAAAATCACTTAGAATTTATGAGTCACATGTTGGAATGAGTAGCACGGTATGCATCTCTCCCCTTTTTTTTTTGGCTTAAAACAAGTTATTATTCAATTCTCTGCTTCCTTGTTTATCCTTTTTTTTTTTTTTAATTCTTTTATTTATTTATTTATTTATTTTTGCTTGTGCTGAACATCATATTGCACAAAAGTGTTCTGACATGTATAGCTGTCTCAAAAGGCCTGAAAAGGGTCTTGTGCACCTGCTTTATTGTGTGTCCCAACCAAAAACTTTATTCCTGGTGGAGGGGAGCATAGGGTGTTCCTCAGATTTAATTGTATCAAAAAATGACTAATAATTTGAACTAAAAAAAATGTAAAATGTACAGGCCAAATTAACAGCTACCTATAATATCCTAATATCCTAATAAAGAAATAAAAGATAAAGAGAGACTTTTTCTGATTGGACAATTAATTAAAGTGAATGGATAATGATAGGGTTAAAACAGGAAAAAGATATTTGTTTACACTGAAAAATGAAAAAAAGACCAATTAATTTGGGACAAATTCGAAGGCATAAAATGACAATTATTTTGGGATGGAGGGAGTAATATTTTTATAGTCTTATGCCCCCATTCAAATAACTTTGACAAACTTTTTCAATTTGTAATTAAAACTTTTATGCTGCCATGTTGAGAGGAAGTTATTCCACAACTTTTAGGACTATCTTCTGTCTTCTTATAGTCATCCATGTTATATTGTGATTTAATTAATACGTTTCCCTACTTTTCATTATATTATTAACACTGAGATGCAGGAGCCAATAATTAATACATATGCCAACTTTAGAGATGATGTGCTTCCTCGAATTAAAAGGCTTGGATATAATGCTGTTCAGATCATGGCAATTCAGGAGCACTCATATTATGCTAGCTTTGGGTATTTTCTCCTTGACATGGGAAACTTGACTTTTATTTTTTGCCAACTATATAACTTTTTAAAATTATACATAGCAATGATTTTGTGAATGGAATGGGACAGGTTTTCAGAACTTAGTTTCGTTTAGCAGATAGGTACTTCTCTTCTACTTTTACGTAGCAAGTTTCTTTTAATGTGATGCAGGTACCATGTGACAAACTTTTTTGCACCTAGCAGCCGCTTTGGAACACCTGATGATCTAAAGTCTCTGATAGATAAAGCTCATGAATTGGGCCTGCTTGTTCTCATGGACATTGTACATAGGTAAAATCAGATTGGCCAGAGAAAATTATTTTAAACAAACATCTTTAGCTAATTTGTTTTTAATAAAAAAAAAAATTCATATATCTGACATAACTCTTTATCCTTTACTGTTCAATGAATCCAGCCATTCATCTAATAATACATTGGATGGGCTGAACATGTTTGATGGAACTGATAGTCACTACTTCCACTCTGGATCGAGGGGTTATCATTGGATGTGGGATTCTCGCCTTTTTAACTATGGAAGTTGGGAAGTATGCATCTAGCGAAACTCTAAAACTCAGTATACTTTGATGTGAGATTTTGACCTTTTTGGCCTCATTATGTTGGAAAAAATTAATGTTTATTTACTGATTTAGGTATTAAGGTTTCTGATATCAAATGCAAGATGGTGGCTCGAGGAATATAAATTTGATGGATTTAGATTTGATGGTGTGACTTCAATGATGTACACTCATCATGGGTTGCAGGTACTATCTGAGTGTCCTAGGAAGTTTTCTTTTGTATTGCTTGGTACGGTACTATAACTTTGTTACTGTACAATAGCCAAAGCTTTCAATATATTTACAATTCTAGAACTAGTTGACAAAAATAAATGGTGACTGTATTTGGATTCTATTTTTGAGTGAAAAGCACTTATAATTCTCCTACAAAAAATCTATGGTTTACTGTAATCAGTGAAGCCTATCCAAATGATTAAATTTTCCACAACTAAATGGTGCTGCTAGTTCATCTGTCAACATGTAATGTTTCTGGTTATACAATGTATAATTTGCATAACTGGCTGTAGGTAGCATTTACTGGAAATTACAATGAATACTTTGGATTGGCAACCGATGTAGATGCTGTTGTTTACCTGATGCTGGTTAATGATATGATTCATGGGCTCTACCCCGATGCTGTCACCATCGGTGAGGATGTATGTTCTCTAATTCTCATCTTGAAGTCATTCTGAGCATCCTAAAGTTGTACCCTTTATCTCATTCACAGAATACTTGTATCCAAACTTAGCCAATCTCTTCTGTAGAAACATTAAATTGAAATATTTGTCAAAACATTTTTTCATTGCTGATGCTGATTCTAATAGCAAAAACCATGGCTCGGGTAAAAATTCCATATGGGCATGTTAAATATCTCAGATGTGATTGTGCATGAAATACACCAATCCTGTATTTTATGTAGTCTTATATGTTTCCTTCTTGCTGCTTTATTGATCACATTTTCTGTTTAATTGATTACATACCTTTCGGCTAATTCTCTGCAATGACAAGGTATGGCAATCCATGTTGCATATTGTGTTCAGGAATTATATAATGCTTTTTACTAATTGAACTTAACCTTTCCTATACCGGAAGTTATGAAAACTTAATTCACCTGAACATAACTAGAGAAAGAGCAAACCTGGATATGCTGCTTAAAGAAAATCAGTGCAGAACCAAAAAAATATTTGATTTGAACAACTTGAAGTTGAAATTTTTACCACACAAGTCTGGAACTCATGCATCATTCCTAACTCCCTTACCTCCCTTTAAATTTCTTTTCTTTCTTTCTTTTTTTCTTCTCAAGGATATGAAGATTAAAGTTGTCATCACAAGCTAGACTTATGTGGTGCCTGCTACAAATTAAATTGTCCTTTGAATTTTGTTTGATTATTAAATCATCCTTTGAATTTGACTAAATCTCTTGTTTATGATGCAGGTTAGTGGAATGCCAACATTCTGCATTCCTGTCCAAGATGGTGGCGTGGGCTTTGATTACCGACTGCAAATGGCCATTGCCGACAAATGGATTGAGCTTCTTAAGTGAGTTGCATTTCAAAAACTTATCACAACTTAGCAACCATGATTCTAAAATCTTCTTCTATAATCTGCCTGACACAACCATTTGTACTCTTTGCCTCCTATTGGTACTTTATATAGGAAGAGGGATGAAGACTGGAGGATGGGTGACATTGTCTACACGCTTACCAATAGGAGATGGTTGGAAAAGTGTGTTGCATATGCTGAAAGTCATGACCAAGCTCTAGTTGGTGACAAAACAGTAGCTTTCTGGTTGATGGATAAGGTTAGATGAACTCTTGCTTACCTTCCGTACAAACTTTATCTTGTTTGCACAGGCATGAAAAGTTTGACCGGTTAAGGCAAGTGCATTTGGTTTATTAAGCTTCTTTTTGGGGGGTTTTCTTTTTATGTTGTTTTCTAGGATCTACTTTCTTAAACTCATTTTTTATGTTCAGAAATTATTAATGTTTTTCTCTTTAGAGTTTAGAACCTAGTGGCAATCAACATATGCTTTAGAGGCTAATGGCTGTTTTTTTTCTGAAGAACCAGTTTTAACTTTTAACTACATGCCTGGTTCAAGCATTGAGAAAATTAATGTCAAATATAATATGATTGTTGTGCTGTTTGGGAAAATTAGGAATGAATGTGGTGAGAATGTATGTCAATAATATGTCAGGAATTATTTTATACCACAGAGTGGTATGATGTATTATAATTCGAGATTTTTAAACTAAATTAATTAAGAGGATCCAAGACAGATACCCTTCCTTCTTAGGCTTCTTTTTTTCCCTTTTTTCCCAAAATTCTTAGGCATTTATTAGCCCAAAAGGAATTCCTTTACCATGACTTTGTGATGAGTTCCTCGTGTGTTCTAGGAGAAAAATGAAAAAGGATAGGGAAGGTGTTAAATGGAAAAACCCGCATTTGTCAAAATAAGGGGAAACTTGTAAACTTAAATAATTTGCACTACTCCACTTTCCAATTGGGTTTAGGCTCTATTAGAAGGGATTATATTTGTTTCTATCACATTAGTTTTTACACCATGGATTTGCAAAACTGGAAATATGTTTACTAGAAGATACAGTGATAGAATATGAGATGAATTCGATGAATTCTAAACCCTAGAAAGTCACTGGGTCTTTGGTTTGAAATTAAGCCCTTTCTTGAAATCCATTGAACTGTTATGAAGATAGTTGTTCTTTCTTGATTATTGCATAGCTGTCAAATGTGACTGTTTTATTCTGAAGTATAACATAGATATTCTGCAGTTATATTTGAAGAAAATATATTTAAGCAGCATATTATATTGGATAATCTTTTCTTTCATAGAAAAAGGTTCATGCTATTAGATTCTGTCTTTTTGCAGGACATGTATGATTTTATGGCTCTTGATAGACCAACAACTCCCCGCATAGATCGTGGGATAGCATTACACAAAATGATTAGGCTTATTACCATGGGACTAGGTGGAGAAGGATATTTGAATTTCATGGGAAATGAATTTGGACATCCTGGTAAGACCAACTGATTGTCTACCTACTGGCATCCAAATTATTGTTTTAATATTTTTTAACATACATTCAGTTAGATATGTGCAACTTGATGGTTGATACATTATTAAAGGTAATTATTTAATATTCTTTTATTTAGAGTGGATTGATTTTCCAAGGGGTGATCAGCATCTTCCTAATGGAAAGGTTATTCCTGGGAACAATTGCAGTTATGATAAATGCCGTCGTAGATTTGATCTTGTAAGTTCTTTCTCACTCTTTGCTAAGAATGAAAAGTAGAGAAAACCATCCTTAAGAAAGGGGAAATTGTTTTCCAGAAAAGTAGAGGAGTAGCCTTCATCTTTCTCTAAATCTTTTACTTCTCATGTAAAGTACCTGTGATTTCTACAAATCAAATAGAGAATAAATGTCTATTCATACCCACTCTCTATTTGCCACTATTATCTTTAAATGATATTTATCTATTCTTTTACATTATGGGTTACGTGCACTCAGGGTGATGCAGACTATCTAAGATATCGTGGAATGCAAGAATTTGACCAAGCAATGCAGCATCTTGAAGAGAAGTATGGGGTAAGTACCAAAGGTGCTAATGTTTTTAGCTTTTTCTTATTTACAAAATTTTTGAATTATACAAACAGCCACACACAGATGCACTTAAATAGCTGTTCATGAATTGCTAGAAGAAAGAACTGGTTAGGTTCCCCCTATTATATGCTAAGACTAAGATAAGAGGGAAGAAATTGGAAACAATTTGATTACTTGATTTTTTAAGCTATTATTGTCCCTGCTTGATTTTAATCTCTGATTTATACTCCAGTTGGATCCTCTCCAAGTTTACTGTGGTCTTTAGTTGTCTTACTCTAAAGCTGTGCTATTTTATGAGATTACGCAAAGCAAACAACATGATGTGCATAACCTCATGAACCTTACCTCTTTTCTTTAGAATGTAAGTAATACTTGTTAATTGATGCAGTTCATGACTTCTGAGCACCAGTACATATCGAGAAGGGATGAAGGGGATAGGATAATTATCTTTGAAAGGGGCAACCTGGTTTTTGTCTTCAATTTTCATTGGAGTAGCAGCTATTTTGATTACCGAGTGGGCTGCTTAAGGCCAGGAAAGTATAAGGTAGGATTTTTACATTTTCACTAGAGGACTTTGAATTAACAAGGTTAACATGTCCACCTTATGCCATTCTTCTTTTTCCTCTAATTTTAATCATTAATTATGGTCTTTTCATGTCTCAATACTGCTCTACATTTGTCTCTCTTCCAGATCGTATTGGACTCAGATGATCCCTTATTTGGGGGCTTCAATAGGCTTGATCACAATGCTGAATACTTCAGCATGGTAAGGAAACACCTTCACAATCTGCATCTGAGAATTAGTTCTTTCTCCTACATACAGTAACCTTGAGCATTGATTTGTTCTTCTGGTGCGTGTGCAGGACGGATGGTATGATGACAGACCACGTTCTTTCTTGATATATGCACCGTCTAGAACTGCAGTTGTATATGGGCTAGTGGAAGATGAAAATAAAGAGCCAGAACCCATTGTATCAGTAGGAGAACCCATTGCACCCGTGGAGGGTGAAGAAGAAGAAGCAGAATCTGAATCAATTTATGGCTAAAATCAAATTTCATCACAGATTCTGCTGATTTGCAGTGACTTCAAAAATCTCATTGTTGACCTTTGGCATTCAAGACTAATTTTGACAAACAAATTCTGTACACTACCAGCACAGAATAATATCATCTTGAAGGTTGGCAGTTCGCCAGGAGATGCAACAATTGAGACGAACATAGAGTAGACGCGGACACGAGCAAGAACATGGAGCAACATGAGGCAACCTTTATTAAGTACATAAAAGCCAGTTTGCTGTTCCTTGATTCTGTAAATCCTAGTTATAATCATATAAATGTAATGTCAGACCTACTAAGAGCAGTGAGCGTAGTGTTAAACCTGAACTCGTCGAAGAAGCAGCCGGTGGAATGTGAAGCCAAGTGAATGATGCAATAAACTCAGTATAACCCTTTCACTGTTTACATATTTGCTACTGTTTTCCTTTGATCAAAATTCAGCAAGTGCAAATATCATATTTTCAAGAAAAGAACTAATAATTGGGATGGATCATGAAAACTTGATGAAATAAATTTGGTTCGAAAAATCAAGCAAGTAGTAAAGGTAATATACACTGTTGTGTTTCAAGTACCTAAACAACAGAGAAGAAAAGAATAAAAGCTCAGCAGTACTACATAAATTCAAGTGCTAACATAGCTAGTATCCGAGGCAGAAGCTCTGGGCAACTGATGCAGGACGCTGGTAGGAGATGAATTGGATGATGATCTTAATGCCTCAGCAAGGGGTCCTCCCATTGAAGCTACCTGATTCGAAGCCCATCCTGCACCCCAATTCAGCTGGGGCTGCTGCTCCCTTTCGATGTCTTGGGGACCCTGCTGCTCATCCCCATTGCCAGTAGACAGTTTCAACGACACATCTGATGACGAATTCCCAGGCATTGAAATTGAAAGGGAAGTGTTGGAATTCATCGAGTTGGCACTGTTTCTAGCATTTTCAGATTCCTGAAGGGATCGCGGCCAATCATCAAAAAAATGCCTCAAGATATGGCCATCATTCCTGTCATCAACCTTAACCTGTGCTTCAAAGAAGCCAGTGTGTTCGGTTTTGGAGTCTGAGGAACTGCAAAGAGACAAAGGAGAGTACAGTAGGGGCGCCAGCTTAACGCAAAAAGACAAGATAAAAGACAACAAGGTTGGACAACAGGGAGTAGGTTAAGGCCACAACTAGAAGTGTTAAAAATGCCACACAAATTTCTTGCTTCTTTTTTTACTGGTAAACAGTATTTGGAAAACATTACTGTTTAAATTAATTTTAATATATTAAATAATAAATATTAATTATTTTATTATTTATCAATTAACAATTATAATTAATAACTGTTTCTAACCATCAAGCTAAACAAAATTAATATTTTAAAAAACAACACACATTTTGTTGTGAAACAGTAAACTATATGCCACCACAACATTATAAGCAAAGAGAAAAAAAAAATTATAAAAAAAAAAGTAGTGGTTGGGGTCAGTTTGTACAGAATCTAAAGCTTCCTGTCCACAGATCTGAGACATATTTTGATCAGATATTGCTACCCTACCAAGCTGATGACATCGAATATAAAAGATCTGTGGAATCCAGAGTTGCATGATTTTACAACATATTCAAGTTTCTTTTAAAAAAAACATAAAGATGTCCCACCATACAACTAGTTTTAAGTTCTAAAATTAATGCCCAAATCTACCTCCATTTTCATTAAAAAGGGGAGGGGACTATTCCCAAGGGAGAAGAGGACACAATAGCGCTCAATTCACTATCATTCCCAACAGTCTCAACAGTGCTAACAAGCCTTTAACCAATAGTGTTGTGACCCATGCAGATCTTAAAAGATTTCAGTTTAAATTCTAAGATTTGAATGCCGATTCTAAAACAACATGTCATTTAATTTACTTTCCAACAAGTCAAAGCAACCACCACTTCAGATTAGAGATGTAAATTAATTATATGGTTGTAAATAGTTAATTAAAGCCATAAACATTTACTGAGATATAATGACAGATCAAGCAAAGATTATTACCTTTGATTGAAGTGAAGAAGATCAATGGAAGGAGAAGGCCCTGAAAGGCCAAAATTGGGCCCATTAGCCACCGCTGCAAGCGATGCAGCACCGACTGGACCTGCAGCACCGCCACCGAAAGCCACAGCGGCATTGTTGTTGGTGCTGCTGCTGGTACCATTAGGTGTGGGCATTTCCACAGGCTTTCTTGAACGGTTGCGGCCACGATGCATGTGCCGTTCGCAATACTTCTGGCCAGCCACCACGTCCCTCGAGCACCTCCACTTCTTCCCGTCAGTCCTCCGGCACCGACCCGGCTCTGGATCCATCGCTGCTCTGCCCCAATACCCCGATTGCAACACTGATCACAGATATCAATGCTATTTTTAAGAGTTCACTTTCTTAAAACATATAAAACAATTTAAGCCTTTTTCTCTGTAGCTAATCAAATAAGCTCATCCATATCAAAGATTACGAGATCACAAGGCACTTTTTCCTCTTAACCTTCCCAAAAAGAGTCGAATTAAGAGATTCACAAAGAATTACCTCCTCCAATCCTTCTCCAAAAAAAAAAAAAGAGGGGTCGACAAGCTAGGTTGGCATGGAGTTTTATTTAAATGGAAATTAGATCAAAAATGGGCAGATCAGATCATGTAAAGCATGAATAATCTTGCAGGGAAAGAAAACCCAAAGTGCACCATTTGGTAGAGCAGACAATATCCAATCAATAACTAATTGATACCTCAGATAATACTATGAGGTAGTACTATTTTTGCACTTAAAAATTAAAGAAAAAAAAAGATCATTTAATAAAAGTAAGAAAGAACGGTTGATAACGATTGACTTACAAGCAGGCTGGTAATTGTGAGGGTAGTGATGGAGGAAGTATGGATGAGAGTGAAGAGGAAGACTCTTCTTGATTGGCAGGAGAAGTTCAGGAGGAACAGCAGCACCAGCCAACATGTACCTGTAGATCAAAGCCTGCAACTCCAGCTCCTGCCACTGTGCCCAGCTGAAGTAACTTCCCATCCCTGAGAAAACCCAGAAGAAAACAAACTCAAAACGGAAAACCCATTATGATTTTAAGGGGAAAAACATGGAAAGGTTGAAACTTTATTATGGGTTTCTGTTTAAAAGGAAGGAAAATCTTACTGGGATATCTAGTGGATGAATCTGGAAATGCCGCTGACAGGTTGCTGATTTTGGTGTTGGGTTCAGGTACAAACAGGGGGAGGGCAGAGGACGCTTGTTGATGGGGATCAAGGAGGAGTTTTGGTATCTTTACAGAATGTTGTTGGTGTTGTTGCTGCTCTGACTCATGCTGGTTTCTCCATTGCTTCAGATGCAAGTCCATGGAGAGAGAAGAGAGATTTGGAGTTTGGTTGCTTTTGGGGTTTGGTTGAGTTAAATCGAGAAACCCTGTTTAGTATGTTGGGTATGTGAGGAGAAAGTTTGTAAAAGCTTTTTTTGCAGGAACTTCCGTAAGTTGTTTTTATAACTTTGGCAGGTAGGAAAAGAAAGAGAGAGGGTGTGTCTGACACATTGGGCCTGCAAAGTTTGTTTATCGCCAGTGGAGAAGCTCAGGGCACTTGAGAAAAGACGGTCAGACAAGACAGTTGAGAGAAAAAAAAAAAAAGCTAACCAAAAATTATTTTAAAAACAGGTACGGATAATAAGCAAGAACCTGCAGTCTTTTTTGTCTCTCTAATTTGCCTTGGAAATACAACTTTGAGAGGGAGAGAGAAAAACAGCAAGGTGCTGCAGCATATGATCATGTAATGCATAGTACCACAAACAAGATAAAAGATAAAACTAAATAAAAATAAAAATAATAATAATAATGATTATTATTAATTTCTGAGATTATTAATAATAGAAATCGAAAAGTATAAGAGCATAGTCCGATTCTGGGCACAGAAATTTATTATGGTTACATAAAATTTTTATTTTATGTTTATTTAGATATTATTTTAATAATATTTAAA